GAGGATATGGAATGCATGGCTAATTGTCTCAATGAACAACTGTCTCCTTTGCCATGAGACCAGAAGAACTGGATGGTATCTCGCTACCATTACTGAACATTTTGATCAAAGATTCCATGGAACAATCCTGATCAAAAAGAGGAAAATGCAGAAGAAAATTTCAAATTCTCATAGACTTCCGACTTCCTAGGCCATGAAGGTTGGATGAACCCCTGAAATTACTGCCCTGAGATAATCTTTAAATCTTAAACCAAAAATATCCCCTGAAGTCTTCTTAAAACCAAACAATAGTTTAGCTTAACTAGTAAAGAATGTCTGCCCTGAGCATTGTTCTCTTTTAAGAACTATCTATATGGGATCAAAGTGACAACAGCGACTCAAAATATTAGATAGGAACCTTAGGGGGCAGTGAATTTATGTTAAGGGGGGAGGAACAACTCAGAAAAGTGGGTGAGAATGGTTGCACAACTCGAAGAATGTAATCAATGTCCCTAAATGGTACATGTAGAAACTGTTGAATTGGTGTATGTTTTGCTATGCATATTCTCAAGAACAACAACAAAACAAACAAAATTAAAAAAATAAAAAATTCAGTTGGGGAAAAAAACAACAACACTATAACTATTATTCGAAGGCAGCTTAATAAGCCCCAGGGTTTCTACAAGCACTTCGTTACATTATCTCACTTAAACCATATAACCATGAGAAGTAAGTTTTATTAGCCCCATTTTACAGATAGAAAACTGAAGCCCAGTGAGATAAACTGCCTAAATCCACAATGCCAAGAAAGGGCAGTTCGGATTAAAATCTAGGTCTTTCAGGTCCCAGAACCCATGTATGCCCAAATACTAAAGAGTACAATATCACCAGTCTTTGCACTGGCCAATTCATTCAGCCGGCAATTTTTATTGAGTACCTATTATGAACCAAGGAGTTCCTGGGTGGTGCAAACAGTTAAGTGCTCAACTATTAAGCTAAAAGGCTGGCGGTTTGAACCCACCCAGAGACACCTATGAAGAAAGGCCTGGTAATCTACTTCCAAAAGATCAGCCATTGAAAACCCAGTTCTACTCTGACACACATGGGGTTGCCGTGAATCAGAATCAACTCAGTGGTAACTAACAACAACAATAACGTGTATCAGGCCCTGGTGATGTAGCAGTGGACAAAATCCTTGCTCCCGTGGAGCAAAAGTTGGAGCTCAGAATCAGAGTGAATAAGAAACGTTAATTTCCAGTTGGTATAAACATACTACACCCAACCCATATCTATGGTCTCCTTGACACCACAGCCAAGGAGTGGGCAGCTGCCCTTCAGTGACTTCTTTCTCTTGAACTTGAATTTACTGGAATAAAAAAGTGTGTGTAAAAGTGAAGGGAGCTTGCAAAGTGTTCTTCTCCAGAAAATCATCACATTCCTCCAGAGAGGGTGACTCAGGACTCCAAATCCCTAGCTTTCAGTGTTTCATCCTAAGTTTGAGGTATGATGTTAGCCTGGCTGGACCTGCTCCTCTGGAAGTTTCACCATTGACCCAGGTCCTGTTCACAGAGACAGGAGTTGGCTGCGTTTTCTTCCCTCCCTCTTCTGCAGCCAGCTCTGTGCTGAACCCCAAAGGGTCTGGGCCTCATTTCACAATTACCTTCAGTCTCCACCAGCCTACCCCCATCTCCCTCCAACACCTCCAGAAGAAAGGCAGATTTCTTCATTCCTTCCAACTAAACAAGTTTTGCCAACTTTTTTGACAAATGAACTTTTGTTTGTTGAAGGAGCAAGTCCTGACTTGCAGAGTCCTCTGCAGGGGTGGGATAAAACAAAATTGGGAGGATAATGAAAGAGTTGCTATCATCACTGAATCAGGGTTGACTCTCTGGGAGCTGGGGTGCTGGGGAAATCCCCCCAAGCCTGAGTGGTCTACTTTATTGCCTTCATATCATTTAAGCTGGTTCCTCCTACTATGAGTCAGCTCCGAGGTTGTTCAGAAAAAAATTCTTTCCTGACCCAGAGGTGCTCAGTGATACTCTGCCTGGCCGCTGTTACAGTGAGAGGTAGGTTTCCAAGGGCAGCAGAGTCTCTCAAATAATGACACAAAAAGTGAGTAAGAGAATAGTTATCTTTGACCTACTCTGAGAACAAGATTTTATTTTAAAAGAAAAAAAACCCTAAGAACTGTTATGCTTATCACTAAAGTTTTACACTGCCCCTATGGTAGAACAAACTCGAAGCTGCTTTTATACTGCCTTATCCTTGTGTCTAGTTACTTGATGGCTCTCTGTGGATCTGAGGTCACCAGTAAGATTGTGCCTCTGATGAGAGGTACACCGTTTGGATCCCCTGTCGTCAGAGGTGCCCATGGCTGTGCTAGGTACTCACACTGCTCAGTATTTAGTGGTTAAGAGCTACGGCTGCTAACCAAAAGATCAGCAGTTCGAATCCACCAGGCACTCCTCAAACTAGAGTAGACCTTAATGACGTGGATGGAGTCAAGCTTTCAGGACCTTCGTTTGCTGATGTGGCATGACTCAAAATGATAAGAAACAGCTGCAAACATCCATTAAAAATCGGAACATGGAATGTACAAACTATGATTCTAAGAAAATTGGAAAGAGTCAAAAATGAAATTGAACATAAAAATCAATATTCTAGGCATTTAGTGGGAGCCCTAATGGTTAAGAGCTCGGCTACTAACCAAAAGGTCAGCAGTTCAAATCCACCAGCCGCTCCTTGGAAACCCTATGGGGCAGTTCTACTCTGTCCTAGGGTCACTGTGAGTCAGAATTGACTCGACAGCAGCGGGTTCCATATCACAGGTTGCTGTCCAGTCAACTCCTACTCATGGCAACCTCATTGTGTTTCAGAGTAGAACTGTGCTCCATAGGGGTTTCAATGGCTGATTTTTTTTGTTTTTTTTAATCTTTGAATTTTTTTTTCTTTTCTTTTTTTATATTTTATTGTACTTCAGGTGAAGGCTTACAGAACAAATAGTTTCTCATGAAACAGTAGTACACATGTTATTTTATGACATTGGTTAACAACCCCACAACATATTAACCCTCTAAATTCTCAACCTTTTTTTTTTTGGTGAAAATACACATAGCCAAAGATACACCGTTTCAAAAATTTCTACATACACAGTTCAGTGACATTGACTACGCTCTTTCAATTGTGCTGTTATTCTTTCTTAAGACGAAGGCTTACAGAACAAAATAGTTTCTCATTTAACAGTTACTACAAATGTTGCCCTATGACAATGTTAACAATCTCACAACACATCAACAATATCCTTACTCAACCTTGGGTTCCCTATCACCAGCTTCCTTGTCCCCTTCTGCCTTCTGGCCCTTGTCACTGGACTCCTATTCCTCGTTAGTCTCATTTGGTTTTACGGGGCTGTCCACTCCCAGGCTGAACAGTGAACCTTGGAGGTAACTTCACCACTGAGCTAAAAGAGTGTCTGGGGGCCATACTCTTGAGGTTTCTCCAGTCTCCTTTAGGCCAGTAAATCTGGTCTTTTTTTTGTGAGTTAGAATTATGCTCTACATCCTTCTCCAGCTCTGTCCAGAACCCTCTTGTGATCCTGGTCAGAGCAGTCAGTGGTGGTACCCGGGCACCATCTAGCTGTACTGGACTCAGTCCGGTGGAGGCCTTGGTAGCTGTGGACAATTAGTCCTTCGGACTAATCTTTTCCTTGTATCCTGTTCTCTTCATTCTCCCATGCTCCTGAAGGGATGAGACCAGCGGAGTATCTTAGATGGCCGCTCACAGGTTTTTAAGACCCCAGACACTACTCACCAAGGTAGAATGTAGAGCATTGTCTTTATAAGCTGTGTCATCAATGGCTGATTTTTTGGAAGTAGATCGCCAGGCCTTTCTTCCATCCGCCTCTGGATGGACTCTAACCTTTCGGTCAGCATCTGAGTACACTAATCTTTGCACCACGCAAAGACTCCTACCCTATGTTGCTATTGTTGTTAGGTGCCCTCAAGTAGGTTCTGACTCATAGTGACTCCACGCACATCAGAACAAAACACTACCCAGTCCTGCGCCATCCTCATAATCGTTGCTATGTTTGAGCCCATTTGCAGCCACTGTGTCAATCCATCTAGTTGAGGGTCTTCCTCTTTTTCACTGACCCTCAACTTTACCAAGCATGATGTCTGTCTTAGTCATTTAGTGCTGCTATAATAGAAATACCACAAGTGGATGGTTTTAACGAAGAGAAGTTTATTTCCTCACAGTTAAAGTAGGCTAGAAGTCCAAATTCAGGGCATCAGCTCCAGGGGAAGGCTTTTTCTCTCTGTCGGCCTTCCCGTCAATGTTCCCCAGGATTAGGAGCTTCTCTGTGCAGGGACCCCAGTACAAAGGACGTGCTCTGTTCCCGGCACTGCTTTCTTGATGTTATGAGGTCCCCCAACTCTCTACTTGCTTCCCTTTCCTTTTATCTCTTGAGAGATAAAAGGTGGTGCAGGCCACACCCCAGGGAAACTCCCTTTACATTGGATCAGGGATGTGACCTTAGTAAGGGTGTTACAATCCCACCCTAAACCTCTTTAACATAAAATTACAACCACAAAATGGAGGCCAACCACACAATTCTGGGAATCATGGCCCAGCCAAATTGCTACACACATTTTTTGGGGGATATAATTCAAGCCATGACCCTGTCCTTCTGCAGGAACTGGTCCCTCCTGATAACATGTCCAAAGTACATGAGACAAAGCATCACTATCCTCCTTTCTAAGGAGCATTCTGAATATACTTCCTCCAAGACAGATTTCTTTGTTCTTCTGGCAGTCCATGGTGTATTCAATACTCTTCACCAGCACCATAATTGAAATGCATCAATTCTTCTTTGGTCTTCCTTATTCATTGTCCAGCTTTTGCATGCATATGAGGTGATCGAAGATATCATGGCTTGGGTCAGGCACACCTTAGTGCTCAAGGTGACATCTTTGCTTTTTAACACCTTAAAGAGGTCTTTTGCAGCAGATTCGCCCAGTGCAATACGTTGTTTGATCTCTTGACTGCAGCTTCCATGGGTGTTGATTTTAGATCCAACAAAATGAAATCCTTGACAATTTCAATATTTTCTGTTTATCAAGATGTTGCTCATTGGTACAGTTGTGACAAGTGGTGGTCCTACCCTATAAAAAAACCAAAAAACCAAAACCTGGTGTCAAGTTGATTCTGACTCATAGCAACCCTACCATATAGTCACTGCTAAATAGCACACAGCGTCAAAGCAGGAATAAAAAGGAACATTTTTTCTGCTGTAGCTGAAAATACCTTTTGTAAACAGTCTGCTCACATCCTCCAGAGCAGGATACCAGGCAGTGATGTGGATATGTCTTATCTGGAGGGAAAAGCGGGTTTGACATGATAAATACCTTGGGACATGATAAAACCCAGAGACCCCTTCCTAGGCATCATTATTTCTTTTTAAGCATCTAGTACTACATATGACCTTATCAGAGAGATTTATGTTCAGTTGAAAACCAAGTTATTTTGAGCTGAACAAAATGAGAAGTCTTAAAGTGGTACAGAGAGTAAACCTTTGGCATATCAGTGATGCCTCCCTAAGTTTCTCAGGGACGGTGATTTTCAATAGTGACAGAATTAAAAGAGAAACCTTTCACGGCATCATACAGGAAATAACAGACTCTACGTAGGGCCCAGCACACATAGGTGCTCAAAATATTGCATTTATTTATTAAACAAGTACCTATATTGCAAGGCAGTAAGGGCTTTACATGGGTGGTACAAATGGCTTGAGCTTGGCTATTAACTGAAAGGTTGGTGGTTCTAATCCACCCAGCAGCACCAAGAAAGAAAATCTTGGTGATCTACTTCCATAAGATTACAGCCATTGAAAACCCTATGGAGCACAGTTCTACTCTGAAACACGTGGAGTTGCCCTAAGTCAGAATTGACTTTATTGCAACAGTTTTTTTTTTTTTTTTTTTAAGACCTTTATACTAGGTGCTTTATACCACCACCAGTCTGTCAAGTTGTCATACTGTGGTGGCTTACTTGTTGCTGTGATGCTGGAAGCAACACCAATGGTATTTCAAATACCTGCAGGGCCACCCATAGTGGACAAGTTTCTGCAGAGTTTCACACTAAGACAGACTAGGAGGAAAAGCCTAGTAATCTACTTTCAAAAATTAGCCAGTGAAAACCCTATGATCACAATGGAATATTGTTGGTATAGTACCGGAAGATGAGCCCCCTACATAGTGTTAACCTTACTATACTGGGCCCAAGATGGAGTTACTTATGCTAAGCCCCACATTAGCTAACCAAAACCCAGCTAGTTTCTCTTTCTTGTAAATGCTTGCCTTCCCAGGAGCTCAAACCCAAATCAGTCAACTCTCTCTGAAACTAAAACCGAAGTTAGTCAATCAGGACTTGTTTGCTCAGTTTAACCTAGTTAAAAATTTCCCTTTGTCCCAAATAAGGAAGAAAATACCTGCTAGTCAATCCAAAATTTGCCTAGTATATCTTCCTTGTTCCTGTGTGTCTGTGACTAAACAAACCTTTTGCTTTGTACTGCTCTTCAAAACGCTTGTCTGACTTGCAGACCAGCCGTTCCCAATTCATGAACTGAAAAATAAAGCTTATGAGTTTGTACACAAATTTAATATTGTGGAAATATTAATTTTTAACAGCTGGAAGGCACTCAAAATACACAAAAACTGTAACAATGGACTCAAGCATCAGTGATCTTGAAGACGGCATCTTTTGTTGTGTGGTACATAAGGTCACTATGAGTTGGAGCCGACCGGAGGGCAAAAAACAATAGCAAGTGCTCTACAACCATTTACTCAAGTAGTTGTTGGTTGTTTGGGTTGACACATGTCCCTAAGAGTTAACTTCAACCTGCTGGCTCTGTTTAGGTGGCAGGAGTATCCTCTGTGCCAGGCACTGCCCTTACCATTACTACATCTGTCCCTCTCAACAACCCTGCTGGCACCTCTTCCTGTGACCATGTGTCCTCCTGTTGCTATTAAGCTGAAGCAAACGAACCTGCCGATCTTTGGTTGTTGCTAATGTCTCAACAAAACAGCAGTTCTATATGTATATATATACACATATACATATTTAAAAAAAGGCAATTTCATGCAATTCAACCTAAATATTGCCTACGTTTTAAAGAGGAAACTGAGGCTTGGAGTGATTAACTAAAGTCTCTGAAGTCTCAGGGGTAGTCAGTAGCAGTATCTGGATTCAGAATCCAGTTTGCCTCCTTTTGAGCCACTTAGCACGCTACTTTAACCAAATATTAAGAGTATGGGCCCAGGAAGGAGCCCTGGTGGCTCCGTGGTTAAGAGCTACAGCGAGCTACGGCTGCTAACGAAAAAGGTCAGCAGTTTGAATCCACCAGCCACTCCTTGGAACCCCTATGGGGCAGTTCTACTCTGTCCTATAGGGTCAGAATTGACTCGGTTGTCAACAGGTTTGGGCTCAGGAACCAGCTGCTTGAGTTTGAAACTCAAATCATTTACTTACTAGCCCTATGACTTTGGGATAAAAACGTTTCCACTCTGTGCACCAGTTTCCTTCTCTGTAAAATGGTGATAATAATAATGCAGTTATTATCTAATTTATAGGGTTGCAGTGAGGATTAAAAGAGGAAATCTAAGAGTTTAGGACAGTGCCTGGCACTTAGTAAGCACTCTAGAAACTATTATCAGGTTCCTTTAACCTCTTTTTCCCTTTTGAGTAAAATATACCAACACACACAAAATTCCTGTGTCTACTAAGATCAGAACTGAGAAACTCACTAGTAAAAGACCTTATTATAATGCCAGGTAGGTAGGAGATGAGCCTCAGGCCTGAGAACCTCTCACAATCTACCCACGTCACTGAGACTGGAACTTTAGCACTACACAACTAGACTGGATTTTTCTTTTTGTGGGGAGGGGGTGTCCCTGCTGAGGAGTACCGCTGTGATTTATTATTCCTAAAACAGAGTCAAAAAACACTCAGACGAGGAAGGCACAGCAAGACAGGAGGGAAACGCGACTCTCGTAAACAGTCCCTAAATCAATCAGAGGGGGGCCTCGGGGAAATTCCACCTCGTTAAATATCTAGGAAGCGTTGTCAGGTTCACTCCCGGAGGGGTGGGGTGAGGAAATCCCCATTCCCCCTGTCCCTGAAACCTCTTCAGGTTAAACTCGCTTGTGTAAAAAAAACACTGGCAAATGAGGGTTCATTTTAGGGTTGTTCTTTTTATCTCAGTGAGCCAGTCCAAGCCCGGCCAGAGTTGTTTAGAAGCTAAGCGCACCAGTCCCGTAAGTCACCTGGGCCGACGTCCCTGCGGGAGGCCAGGCTTTGAGCCGCCGCCAGCGGGCACTGGACGTGGCCTGCGCTTGCTCCGTGGCGGCCCTTTAAGAGCCGGCCGCCGAGCCACGTGCCTCACTGACGTCAGAGCAGGAAGTGTTTGAGGAAGTCGCGCTCTGCTGGCTGGTTTAGGATTCCCGCACTTTAATGTCTTCAGGGTGGTGTCAGAGCCCCCAGTTTTGCCGCCCCAGTCCCCATCTCCCCTGCCCCGGGGAGCCTTTCCCCTGCCCCGCGTCCCCGCCGACAGGTGAGTCTCACGGGCCGGAGGGAGCGGAAGGCCAGTGGTGCCAACCTGCAGATCCCGCGTCTTCCTTGCCCCAGTCGGGCTCTCCACCTCCTCTCTGGAGGCTCTTGTAGAAACTTTTGTCGAGTGTAAAAGTCAGGTATTACCGGGCATGGAAGTGTTTCCCCTATGCAGGTTGGAGTTGGGAGGCCCGGGAGAACAGCCCTGGCCAGAGTGGTTCCGGGTGGCTGCTTAGAGCTGGGTGGAATTGAGAGAGAGCCGTGATTCTTTCACACCCTGTAAAGGCACACGTGACCGTGGTGGCGCTCAGAACTAGGTTCTAGGTGCTGCCTTCGGGAGAATGCGGGCAGGTCAGGCTGGGGATCCCCTTTAGAGGTCATGGAGTGTGAGGCATCACCTCTCTTGAGTGATTTTCCCCTCTTCTACTTCCACAGCTGGAGGGCGGGTGAGAAAGGCCAAAGTTTACTACCTAAAACTAAAAAAACCTGGTTTATTTCAAAGATAAAAACCATTTTTTTTACCTCTCATATTGAAGGGCAAAGCTTATGCCTCTCCTTGAGCAGAAGCTTGCCCCATTTTTTCTTAACCCTTTGTTCTCCACCCCACATTACTTACAGAGTTAGCGCAACATCAATATGAGCTGGTCACCTTCCCTGCCAACCCAGACATGTGGGGTCTGGGAAATGAAGGAACGACTTGGGACAGGGGGATTTGGAAACGTCATCCGGTGGCACAATCAGGTAGGGGCTCCCTGCAGCCTGGAAGAGGCGGGGGAGGGCGGGGTGAGGGGGCAACAGGTTCACCTTTTACTGTCTCAGGGCACCTGTGAATTTCTGCCCCACGGTTCTGGGTCGGTGAGTGGGTTCCACTTTTGGCCATGAGCTTCCTGATAGTGAGAAGGGGGACTAGGAATGGGGCATCAGGACTGCTAAGCTGATGCTAGATTTAAACTCATTGCCATCAAGTCAATTCCAGCTCATAGCAACCCAAGAGGACAGAGTAGAACTGCCCCAAGGAGCGACTGGTGGATTCAAACTCCCAGCCTTTTGGTTAGCAGCCAGGCTCTTAACCACTGCACCATCAGGGCACCAACTCTAGGTTTGTGGTCTCCACATTTTATTGACCAAGTCATCTTAATAAATAGTAAAAAAATTTAAGCTGTCAGTCCCTATTATATGTATTTTAAATTATTTATCTCTACCAAAAAAAACAAACCCATTGCTGTTGAGTCAATTCTGACCCATAGTGACTCTATAGGACAGAGTAGAACTACCCCATAGAGTTTCCAAGAGCAGGTGGTAGATTTGAACTGCTGACCTTTTGGTAGCAGCCATAGCTCTTAGCCACTCTGCCACCAGGGCTCTATTTCTGGACTTCAGGGATGGCAACTTGCACATCTTTTCCCAGGAGCCTGGCTGCAGGGAGCAGAGTGGGGCATCAAGGATGCTGGCCAGCCATGTCAGAAGGTCACTCCAGATAGCCACCCTTCTTCATCACTTAGTTGGGAGACATTCTAGGCCCTGCCTGAATCCCGTCAGCTCTGAGTGGACAGAGCAACCCCTGGAGGAATGTTGGAGCTGGAGGGCAGCGTACAGTTCTGCCGGTGGTAACATTCTCTCCCCCAACGTGGAAACTAGGATTCCAACAAACCCTATGGCTGAAGAGGCTTGAGAAGTACAACTGGCTCAGATTTGTCCTAGAGTGTAGCCAGGGGCCTAGCAGTAAAGCCGAAGAACCTGATCATTCTACCAAACCAAAAAAAGAAAAAAAAAGACTCATTGCTGTCGAGTCGATTCCAACTTATAGCGACCCTGTGGGACAGAGTAGAACTTCCCCATAGGGTTTCCAAGGAACAGCTGGTGGATTTGAACTGCCGACCTTTCGGTTAGCAGCCAAACTCTTAACCGCTTCGCCACCAGGGCTTTGATCATTCTGCAGCCCCCACATACCTGGGGTAGGTGGCCACAACATTGGTCTTTAGAGTCTTTACTGCAGCATATGGCTTGCTGCAGCTCAACTAGACATTGTGATGTCCTTTAAGAAAGAGTTCTGTCCAAGCATGCCACATGCCTGTCATCTCTAGCTCAGAATGACTTCCCTTTGCTCTCTGGGCTTGAAAGGCCAGATATTGCCAGACGGATTTTATTTCCAGCTTTATCGATATGGGCCTAAAAATGTGTTCATGTATGTACGGATTAAACCAAAAAAACCAAACCCATTGCCGTTGAGTTGATTCCAACTCATAGCAACCCTAAAAGACAAAGTGGAACTGTCCCATAGGGCTTCCGGGGAGTGGCGGGTAAATTCGAACTGCCGACCTTTTGGTTAGCAGCCGAGCCCTTAACCACTGCGCCACCAGAGCTCCATGTATGGATTAGCCTTCTAGACTTACTACCTTCCCCTCTGCAAAAACCGTAATCTGTTGTTTATTTTTACAAAGCCAAACTCCTCATCTGTTGTTAGACACTCCTCCACAGTCTGGCCCCACCCTGCCTTTCTAGTCTTTCCTCCCTCTTGGCACCTGACAGGTTGGTCGGCTGAGCCCTCTCTCTGGGACAAGCGTCCTTGTCCTCAACACCTTGACATAAATTCTGCCTGTCCCTCCAGTACCAACTCCAGGCCAGTGCCTCCATAAACCCTTCATGGGCTGCTTCATTCTATGGGAATTCGTTTTTCCGTTGAATTCCTTCAGCTCTGCTCAGTTGGCGTGCCTCATATACTGCCTTTTTGTCTGTGTGTAGCAGTGTGTGTTTTCAAATTCCTAAGTTCCTGGTCAGCCAGGGCTTTGTCTGGCTTTGGACTTCTTTCAGTTGTCCCATAACACCTATCATAATGTTATACATGTGGTAGATGCACAGAAGCATTCACTTAGTCCAAAAATATTTATTGAGGGTCTGCTATGAATAGCATTGGCGTTAAAACATCTTTTTGGAAAAGAGAGATATTAATCGACTGATTATAAATGTAAACTCACAACTGTGGTAAGTGTGGCAAGGGAGAGGGACACTGCATTGAGACCTTATTCTAGGGAGTGAGGCCAGTGAAGGTTTCCCTAAGGAGGGGACATTTGAGCTGAGACCTCAGGGATTGGTAGAGGTTACCTGGGTGGAGAAGGTAAGCGAGTTCAGGCTGAGGGAGCAGCCTGTTGGGGAGGGGTGGGGGGTGGGCTGCAAGTGGAGTAGGTCCTGGCAGGCAAGCTGAGCTGAAAGGCCAGTGTGACTGGTAGGGAGAGTGTGAGAGGGAACAAGGTTCAAGGGGAGGCTGGAGTGGCAGGAGGTAAGAGACCCTGCAGGGCCTTGAAGGCGGCTGACAAGGTTTTGTTTTGATCTTAAGAGCAATGGAAAGATGTTGACTGCAGGAACAGATCAGAAGGGGCCCAGGCAGCAGTGTGCCAGGAAATCAACTCCGAAACACCCTGGTGCATAGTGTTTACCTGTTTCCATAGGCTAACTACCCACAGCATGGCTGATTGCAAGCCATCAACAGTTTTAACAATCAGCTCTCTCCAAATCCCTGAATATTTATTTATTTTCACCGTGCTTTAGGTGAAAGTTTACAGAGCAGATTAGATTCCTATTCGATAGTTTGTAGGTAAAGAGTTTTCTGGCCTTGGTTTTCATTCCCCACAATGTGTCAGCACTTTCCCCATTTCCGCCCTGGGTTCCCCGTTTCTTTTCATCCTGCTTCTCTACCCCTTTCTGCCTTGTCATCTTTGCTTTTGGGCAGATATTGCCTTTTGATCTCTTGTAATTGATTGTTCTAAGGAGCACGTTCCTCTCAGGTGTTATTTTTTATTTTATGGGCCTCTCTGTTGTTTGGCTGAAGGGTGGTCTCCAGGAATGACTTCAGTTCCAGGTCAGAAGGGTGTCCTAAGGCCATAGTCTTGATGATTCCTCGAGTCTCTATTAGACCAGTAAGTCTGATCTTTTTTGTGAATTTGATTTTTTTTCTATATTTTTTTCTCCCCGTCTGTCCAGGACCCTCTGATAAAGATCCCAGTGATAGCAGTTAGTAGTGGTAGCTGGGCACCATCTAGTTCTTCTGGTCTCGGGTCATGTAGGCTGTAGTTCATGTGGTCAGTTAGTCCTTTGGACTAATTGCTCCCTTGAGTCTTTGGTTTTCTTCACTCTTCTTTGCTCCAGACTGGAAGAGACCAATAGTTGTATCTTAGCTGGCTGCTGTCAAGCTTTTCAGACCCCAGACGCTACTCACCAAAGTAGGATGCAGAACATTGTCTTTATGAACTGTGTTGTGCCATTTGACATAGATGTCCCCTGAGACCTTTACCTTTGAGCCTAGGAGCCTTATCCTGTGGAGAGTTTGGTTATGTGTAACAGGTTTCCCTGACTGTGCCCCTTGCGTGCTGTATTGTCTATATTAATATATGGGGAGCACCTACATTCACGTATGTAGAAATACCCACCACCAAACCTGTATCTGCCAGTGGATGTGTTCTCTTACACTCTGCCACACCTCTTGGCATATCTATCTATGTAGCCATTCGTAAATTATTGTTAATACTACTGAAGTTCCGGAATATTCAGCCATCAGCTCTCAGAAGCCATTTCTGGGACACCACTGGCCCTGCCCCAGCAATGTGGAGAGACCAGTTATGAGGCTTTTGGAGATGAAGAGGTTTCAACTGGGCTGATGGTGATGGAGATGGAGAGAAGTGGGCAGATTTAAGAGAGATTTTAGGGGTAAAATTAACAGGACTTAGTGATGGAATGGAATCCTGGGGGTGCTGTGAAGATTGACGCACTCAGCTGCTAACCAAAATGTTGGAGGTTCAAATCCACCCAGTGGTGCCTTGCAAGAAAGGCCTGGAGATCTCCAAAAAATAAGACATTGAAAACTCTATTGAGCCCAGTTCTACTCTGACATGGGATCGCCATTTGAGTCGGAATTGACTCTCCTGGCAGCTGGTTTGGTAGTGATGGAACAGAAAGTAGGGCGGAGGGTGAAGGAGAAGGAGTAGTCAGATGTTCACGAACACTTAGTGAATGCTTGCTGCTGAGTGCAGCTCACTCCAGAAAGCCCTCTGCCATCCTCCTGGGTTAGTCCTCAATTTGGGTGCTTGTGGGAGGATCTTTAATCAGTGTAACCCCTGTGTTCAAAACTTCTTGAAGAAAGCCAGCTGGAATACAGTGGTGTTGATTACTTAACTTGATTAATTATACTCAAC